AGCGTACAAATACATTTTATTACAAAGACATTAAGTTCATGACCTCATGCACCAAAGAAGCGTTTGAAAATTTTCGATGCTTACAAAATTGTGCATGGGATATAAACACTATTGGTTTTACAAAAAGATATTGATTGCCTTAAACTTCAAATGAAGCACAAAATAACCAATCAAGTTTGTTTGAGAAACTGACGAATGGAATTATAATTGACAATTAAATTTTTAATTGAATCATAGAAAACAACGCAATTGTTTAAAAAAAACCGAAATTTCACTTTAGTAACAAAACCAAACATCTCAAAGCCTTCAAGTTTCTCCTCAAATTTGTCAAACCCCGAAGGAAATATTTCGATGCATTCGTCACACTCCATGAACTCTATAAGGCATTAATGTGCGTTATAATTTTATACAATAGTCTTCAACCATTGATATTAAAAACCGATTATTTATAAATATATAAAAGGTATAGGGTCCGTTCAATAATTATTTATATTTAGGACAATCTTTTTTAAATAGTAATACACATCAACATCATCAACTAATTGAACATAAATTACAGTCACAGATAATAACAGACAAGTCATGATCGACGAGACATCCGGATTATTGTCTATTTGTATATCTATGTTACACTATTATCATGGAAGGGGCCGTCTAAAAATACATACGCAAAAACGGAGTGGTTAATTTTTACGTTTTGTGGCGGTTTAGAATACGTAAAAGACGTAAATTTCAATTTTTTATTAGTCAAATAATCATTAATATAGAGAGCAAATGAAAAGAATGTAATTATGATTGACACGATTGAAAACAGGTTCAAAACTGGGTGAATTTTGCGTGACGTACTTTATGGATTGTCCCAAAAATAGATGTCATAATTTTCTTTGATGTTTTAGCAAAGTTACTAATTTCGGCCATTGTCAACAACCGTGTTTTACGTTACAAATTTCACAGTCACATGCCAAAACTTGAGTCAAGAATAACAATGTATCAAAACTTTTGGCGAAATATTAGTTGAAAAACAATTAGAGTATCAACTTTACAAATGATTAAATTTAATAAATACGTTAACTACTTTAAGAGATACAAATTGTGTAGCAACATACAGCTATAAGTGAAACGTTAATATCAACATTTGAGAGTTTGTGTTACTTAAGCAGCGCACAATTTTATTCCAGGCTTATTTAAGCTTATATTAATTTTGATCACAGGTCTTAATTCATTAGAGATTTTATTATTTCTATAAGTTGTATCCGGTCGGGCGGATGAATATGATCCGCAGATTGCATCAATTTTAGTATTTTAGCAATAACAATTGAATACATACATACATATAAATACTGTATTGTATCTATTTAGTTGTAAATCGAGTATTTAAAGGTAACGATCGACCGTAAATACTTTATTAACATAAATAAAAGTAGTAGGTAGATATAGATATAAATAAATAAAGTTTGTAGACTAGCCGATCCATCTTGCGACAAGAAAATTTATTGCTATGCAATAGCTGCAGCAAGAATGGATCGCTCAGCCGAGGAAGCATCACATGCTAACAAATATCAGTGTAAAATACTAAATCTAAGATCGAATATAAAAACTAAGATACAAAAAATATAATAAAAGTGTAAGGTGATACCTCGAAAATTTGGTGGTTTTTCTATTTCACATATTTTTTTAAGTTCTATAGATTACGAACCAAATGTTGGTATATGATTTTCAACTATATGACCTTGGATTTCATAAAAGGAAAACACGATTGAGGTTTCTTATTTAATTTGTTTGTTTTGAAGAGATTTTGTTGTTTTGTGCATATTGTTTTAAGTTTATAACATGAATAATTTTTATTTTTTGTTTTTTACAACATCGTGTCCTGGAAGTCGTTTCGTAATTTCTTCCACAAAAAAAAATTGCAATGTAGGCTCTAATTAGTTACATTTCTCCATGACACCAGAATATTTTTACGAATAAGTTATGGAATTATTTTTAGGCATAGTAAATAATATATAGTAATAATAGATTAGATATCTAAGTTCTCACTTCTCACAAACCATTTTATTAATCCATAACAGTTTTGTTAAAGAAATAAAAAATAACCGTCTCCGTAATAGGTTAATAGTAGACTTAATAGGTAGTTAGGCAAACTTAGCAATCAACCACCGCAAAGTCCACTTCACCTGACGACGCCTCGTTTAGTGGCGAAACACGTGTCGTATTATCGACAGTGATGTGTCTTTCCTAGTGTAGTGGTGTAAGTGGTTAAGTGAAGACGAGAGGTGCTCTCCGAACTAGTTAAAACACATCATTTCATTTATTACGCGGATCTTAGTTAATTTTAAATACTTTAATACATTTCTCTGGTATCGAAGTATTGGATTTTAGTTTTAACGTGTGACAAACAAAACAATAACATTCTAATTCTTTACCAAGGATACTTGTCAGTGTTTATGAGCCATGGCATCATATATTTACCATCAAGTGGATTTTGTGTCTATATGTAACTCTTACATATAAAATATACGTATTAATATAAATTACAGGTATATCGTCCTTGATACTTTACAAAATAAAACATTTTACATATACATAGATAACACATGGGTCGTGAGCATGAAGCGACCTTAGTGTAGGCAAAGCTTATGCATGTACGATTCCTAGAGAGACTGCGAGGGAATAACATCAATATCCAACAGATTACGATGAGTAACTGAAGAATCACATGAAAGAAAACCCATGGACGCGGCGCGAAGAACGTGACTCGACTCGATGAATTATTAGTCGAGTCGAGTCAGATCATGATTATGCTCACAACTCGTGCCACTACTCGTTTCCAATATTGTCACTCGAGTAACTAACAGATCAAGTAAAAAAAAGGAAAGTAATAAAGGATACAACATAATATGAAATGAACGCAAATAAAACATGGAAGTATAATTTAAGGTAAGCCAGCTATTTATTATTTCAAATTAACACATTGACTCTATAGTTGATTAGCTAACGGTTTATTACATTTTATTACGAATCGAGACACCCCTTAAAAATAGACCTTATTTCCTGACAGTTTTGGTTTCAATTGTTATGCATCAGATAAGTCGCTTACAGACAGCTCTTTTTAAATGATACTATTGTACTCTTCACTCATATTCAAAGATGTATGCACAGTTAAAAAAGACCTTATTTCCTGACAATTTTTTGTTTCAATTGTTATACATCAGATAAGTCGTTTACGACATTTTATGAAACAAGATGCAATTCGATTATCAGTATCAAAACAGTATATATAACATGAAATAAAGTAAATGGGGCTCTACACTCTATAGTGAAAAGTCAGAATTTGTCAAAAAAGGCACGTATGGCAATTCAGAATGCTGTGTGCGCTACTTTAACGTGTGGTAGTGAGAGAAGCACGAGAGTAGAATAAATGCAGTAGAAATGCGGTCGCTAAGGAGTATGTTAGGGCTAAATCTGAGTGACAGGGTAAGAAATTGTGTGATAAAAGAAGAGTGTGGTTTGCAAGATGATGCTGTGACCAGGATTAAGAAAGGAATGCTTCGGTAGTTTGGTCATATGGAAAGAGTGAATGAGGAAAGAATGACACAGCACATTCATATTGCAGAAGTGAATGGAAGAGTCGGAAAGGGACGTCCGAGGCGAAAGTTTATCGAACCAAATTGGCGATATATTGAAAATGGGCCAAATTAGGAGTAACCTTAACCGACGAGTATGTACGCGTAGGTATATGAAGGTGGAGTAGGCGACAGAGGTGTGTCAGGATCGTGCCAAGTGAAAGTCTGTAGTCTCTGCCTACCACACTGGGTGACAGACGTGAGTGTTTATGTATATGTAATGTTTGTAAAATAGTGACGGTATTCAAATTAAACTAGTTGCTATGAGGGCCCAATAATTTTCCACTCACCAAATGTCGTTAATTGGGTCAGTCCCAGTGAAGATTTTTACTACACATGGTCATTTAATTAAGAAATTAGTTTTAAATAAAATTTCACAGTTGTCATATACGCAAGTATTTATATTAATACAAAAACCTAGTGGATTGTTCTTAATTCTTTGCATATTTTAAATCTTTTTTTAATTTTTTTACTTTTAGGAATATCTGTAGCTTGGTACGTTCATTTATTTCTAATTTCATTATTATAAAATATAACTTATATTTTAGAAAGAAACATTAACTTTACATATTAACATTTCAACTCGTTCTATATTAGCGCCGCTCTGGTGGCAAAAAGTCGTGGATGCCTACATTAGCATTAGGTTATTGCTTCCATGTTTTATTTTATTTGCGTGATAAGTAACAATTCAACTACGTTAAGTTATTGTTGCGGTCGATCGAAATCCGTATCTGGTATAGTCGTTAGTTTTTGCTTTGACTTGCAACGAATAGTATATTTGGCCATCACGTCGAATATAGAATATTTTGCGGGCTTCAAGACCGAATAGCCGGTTAGGCAAAAGTATTTGGCCGGAAAAGAAGTACCATTTACTCAGAGCGTCTTTTCTCTGGCTAGGATGGTCTACAAGAAAAATGGAGTAAACTGTCTTCTTGCATCATACTCTTCTACTTCTAAATTTAATTACGATATTTCAAGTGCACATACATTTATCTCATAGTATTTTGTTCATTTTATAACGGAAATTTATTATGTAGCTATGGCTACTTAATAATCACAAGAAAAATACATATTCAGAAAATAAATCAATATTTTTATTTTGTCAATTATATGACTACAACAAAACTTTTTTAAGTATTCGGTATTCGGACGATTAAGATATAAAGTAGCAGAATAGGCCGAATACCGAAACAGTAACTAAATATTCGTTGCAAGTTTAGTTAGTTTATGTATTGTATGAGAGGTGTGCTTACGGCGCAGTAAACTGTGCCGCTCTCAACGTGGCGAGCGGCGGCTGCGGCGTGCGTGGCGGGCGTGGCACGTGTGGTAGGTGTGGCGCTTGTGGCAGGTGCGGCAGGTGTGGCAGGCGCGGCGCGGTCAGCGGCGCAGCAGCGCCGGCAGGTCCGCGAAAGCGCACGCGCCGAGGGCGGCGCGCGCCATGCGCCGCAACAAGTCACGCGAGTGCGACACGCACGCCTCTACGGGTGAGATCCACTGCATGCCTTGGGATTCTGCGGAACCATTCGTCACACTCACTTCAAGGCTACCTCCGACATTTAAATCTTTAATTATTTATTCATTACACCAATTCACAGGATACCCGCGTAAAATAACAGCTTAATGCTGCAGTTTGGTATTGAGAACTTAGAAGACCCTGTTTACTGGACACGAGATGTTCCATCTGAGCTACGTATTACGTTTAATTCTATCGGATTTGAGGATTGTACATGTCTATGAGCCACTTCTATCAGATGGACTGTGTACTCGTTTGTTACTCTTATTCTATAAAAAAAAACTATATCAAAATCAAGATATGGGCAGCAGCATCTTACTGACTGCATGCCTTGCGATTCTGCGGAACTACATGTCACACCTTCCTTCCAACTTCTTCTTATGTTACAGTTAATCAAGTTTTTTTATATGTAATTATATAACATTTAAAACTTCATTCCCTTTTTTAAATTTATGTGAGAGACCAGTTTTGATATATTACCTACTAGCTGAATATATCAAAACTACACTGGGCGCACGATAATATTTTTCGAAAATTCGAAACCTAGATATAAAATATCAAGAATTTTTTTCATATTGAAATCCGTTCTTAGTAATACATTGCGAATTTCCAATTAATCGACTGTATATATATTATATAAAGGTATAATTGGCGATCTTATCGCTCAGAAAATATATCTACCAGGCAAAACACTTTGCAGAGGATAAAATGACCTGTGAGAAAGAGTAAGAGTGCACGCAAGTTATTAGAAAATATATGGACAACATGTAAGGTAACGCACATTTAAATATCATCATAACAGCTCTTTTTAAATCCACTAAACATAGGCTTTCTTCAAAGAAAGCCACAAAGCGCGATCCTGAGTCACCTGCCTCCATCGACTTCCTGCATGTCTTACCAGGTCACTCCTCTCTCTCGTGGGGGCGCCCTACACTTCATTGCCACTCGAGAACCTTTCTTCCCCATCAGTTGTCGATTCTTCAAGCTATATGGCCTGTCCATAGCCACTTCAGCTTATCTAATCCGTTGGGCTATGTCACTTAGTCTGGTTCTACCGCGTATATTATCCGCATTTCTAAGTTTATCACGTTTATAAGCCCCAAACATAGCCCTCTCCATAGTTCGCTGAGCAATGTGCTCACTCATACAGCCAGCAGTGAAGGACCACGTCTCAGATCAATATCATCACCAGCAACACGCACAGTTTGTACAATCTTGTTTTCAGATTTTGAGGTATACCTTGCGTAACCTACAAAGCATATAACCTAAAAGCATACAATTCGAATTGAGAAGCTAATCTAATTTTATAGTCTGCTAGAAATATGAGCACTAACCCAATATGGCAGAGTTGAGCGCCTCGCAAACGGCTTCTCGTCGCACCGGCTCCAACTGCCAGCCCACGGGACTGTCCCACGGGTTGCTGTACGCCAGCAGGCTAAACGCGTCCTGGGAACATTAACCTCATTGTATCTCTAGCTTTACCCTCACACATCTCCACTCTGCTTTAATTCTAGTTCTACCGCCATATCATTTTACCCTCATATCAGTCTACCCTCAATGGGGATGCCATTGTCACGAAATCGTCCGAAGTACGTACATCAACACTGCTAAAATTTTTGATTTCTTTAAACAATGGAATCTAAAGGTGTAATTCCGTAGCCGACTGCAGGCAGCAGCAGCAGGCGACGTGTCGACGCGACATGTGGCTGCGACGTGGATGGCAGTTATGAGGCGGCGGCAGCCGCTGATGTCTGACATGTCTGAAATTAGCGCTCGCGATTTATTTTTGTATCTTTTGTTAGAAGAGGAAGAAGATAATGATTACTTGCTTTTATTATACAAGTATAAAGAGAAAAAACACACGTCCTATGTTGAAATGCAGAAGAAGTGAGTAACGAGTGCGGGATATTGGGCCACCTAGTTTATCAATTTTCTTCCTCGGTATCGGTGAAACTCAAGTTTTAAGAAAAATTCAACGTGTTATCGCTCGGGCATTGGCGGCACTACTGATCTACGGTCGGGCAGTCGGGCTACAGTGTCGTCTGCCGCTAGGCAAACGACGTGTCGCTAGTTACGGAACGTAATATAGAACTACATAGAAACCAGTTGTGTCGCGACGACACATCGCTTGCTGCTGCTGTCTGCAGTCGGCTACGGAATTGCATCTACAACCATGCACACTCAATATTCTAACTCTACTGTTCCCTCATACATACCCATAAGCACGAAATCAACTGTTTAACGTGTGCGAAACTTCGCAATTTATGCATCAAAACGTTACTAAGAATTTCATTAACATTTTTTTATAATGGAACATCCATGCATATCGTTAAGGTGTTCTTAGTAATGTGTGGTACAGCGGTTGTCAATCCGCCTGCAAAGCGTTACGATTAAGGGATTCATATATTATACCATGCTACGATTGTGGTTGTAGCACGAATGGGTCGGATTGACCGTGGAAACCACGCTCTCGCAGAATACTAGCGTAAAATACCAGCTTAATACTGCTGTGTTGCGTATAGTGTAGGAAACCGGAGAACCTTTTAATTACGGGTAATAAGGCACTTTATCTTAGTCATCAAGGGTGACAATACATCTGCACATTGATTCAAGAATAGACGTAGATGTCTATAGGCAGTAGCATCCATTAACTATCAGGTGGACTGTGTGCTCGTTTGTTACTTTTATTCTATAAGAAATATGTTATATGCATATTATATTGTTAATTTTTTTAGCTCTATTGCCCATTATCATTTACCGTGTAGTGGCGGTGTAAGAATATCCAGTACCCCATATCATCCCGCGGATGTCGTAAGACGCGACAGAGGGCAACAAATCAGAAGTGGGCAGTAGCGTCTAGCTAATAATAATAAACTAATAAAACTAATAAACTGTGGTTGGTGGACTAAAAATAATAAACTGTGTTTGCCAATCCGCTTGCCAACCGTGGTAACTATGCAAATACCATCCGTGTCAGGCAATCTATGGGAAAGGCATATGTTCATTAATGGACTTTAATAAGCTGTAACGGTAACAGTCAAAATAAGGAGAACCCTGGATGTTTGACCCAGATGTCATCAGTTAGTGAGCTCACCTCCAGCATGGCCTTGTGGTAGACGTCGTGCTGCAAGCGCTGACTCATGGCATACAGTTCGCGCCCGAACGCCAGCATTCGCTCCACCGAAGCACGCGACCAACCCCCACCCTCTACCATCGGAACACACCCATAGACACAGACAAAGTTGTAGATATATGTTTATTGACATTAATACACTCACATAATAAAACATACAAGATACAAGTAGAGAAACAATTAAAATAAATCCCAGCAAGAAAATTACTTCCTGTAAGTGATGTGATGCCAAAAAGGATTCCGACTCAGCGTATGCTTCCGCAGCGACTGCAGCAGCGCTGATATTCAGCGGATCCTTGTTAAATATCTGTTTTTGTATTTCACCACTTGAGCACTTATGACGTTTACTGCACGTTGGAGATGTTGAAAATTAGTAAGCAGAGATCCACTTAATAAAATAAAACGATGTGTCAGTTTGAAGAGCACCTACTGGCCGACAATACTACGACACGTGTTTCGCCTCTAAACATCTCAGGCATCTTCAGGTGAAGTAGACTCTACAGCTGCTCACCGCTAACTTGACTGTGACTTAGGCTTTGGTATTAGCGGTGACGGGAATAAAGTACGCAATCGAGAGAGGGCGGGAAATGCCCTTCAAACTGGGTAAGACACGCCATTTTATTTTATTACGCGGTAGTTAGTTAAATAATTTTTAGTATAGTGAGTTTTCGCAAAATTTGCGAGTGATTATATGAATTAGTTTTCTTCGCAAATCCAACTCGTTGTTTCGTACGCGTACGTGCCACATACGTTCCTCAAATTACAACATATTATCGTTTTTCGCACATAATCAAGTTGTTAGCCGCCAACTGTATAGCGTACACTTAAAAAAAAATCGACACACGCAGACGCAATACGCACGCAAACACGTCACATACGCACAAGCGAGGCGCATCGCTTTGCTCATTATGGCGCTTTTTGACACATCAAATAAGTTATGCGCTTACTCGAACGTGTTCTTCGAAACATTTCACGCACACGCACGCAAGATGTACGCAAACACGCGGGTGTTACGTACACGTACAATTTGATACATCCCAGCATGGCAGTGAGTTATCTGTGTTTCGATTGTTTTACAATCGAAACACACTAATAAATGTAACTTAAAAATGGTTCAATAATTTAAAAAAAAATCAAAGTTGTTATTTAAAGTTTGGTACTACTATTGCAGAGAATGTCTGTTCAATAATTGAAACTATTAATTCTTAGAATTTAAAAAACGTTACCTCCACACAAGGATTTTTCTTGTGCAGTTTACAGTCATAAACTGCACAAGAACTAACGTCGAGGCCAGGAACAACTATTTGTAGGCAATACAAATACTTGTTCCGTGCGGGATTCGAGCCCGCAATCCTCACCGACGCACCTCAAGCGGATATTCCGAAATAATTTGCTAAAGCAATTTAATCTGTGTCTCGGTTTAATAAAACACTTTTGAATTAAAATGTTTGTAAATCTTCAACTTTACACTAATAAAAAAAATCTTATCGTTTATCATATCATATTATATCGATTTCTTACAGAACATTTTACAAACTTACTATTAAAAAATCAAAACATTGTTTTTCGGGAAAAAAATTAGTCAAATAGTGATATTACAACGGGAAACTCAGAATGGTGACTTAGTTAACACTATATAGTATAAGTTAGAAAATACATAAAATACAATGTGCAAATGTCCGTGTAGTATAAATAAAAGAAATTATAAAAAAACAAAGACCAAGTAGCAAATTTATAGAATAAATATTTGAATAATCTAGATATTTACAGATATACATATATATATATATATATATATATATATATATATATATATATATATATATATATATATACATCAAATAACATATAACAATATTACACATAATATATTAAGCAATAAAAATAAAGTATTGTTCACATGCGTTAGATAAAACAGGGCAAGGTTGATTTACATCTAGTTTCCACAAAACATTATATTTTAGTGTGATATAAAACTTTATTGACGAAGAAAGTTATCGTTAAAAATGTTAACATTACATACATACGTTACATACATCCTATAAAGCTAATGTTAATTTTTTATATCATTATTGCATTGTCAAACCTTTTAGAGAAACTTTTAAATTATTATTTAATAACAAAATGTAAATCGATCTCCATATCCAAACATATTCTTACAAAGCTGTACTGAAAATTGAGAGGTTTCTCTTAAAATATTTTTTTAAATATATTATAATATTTATGGATGTGATATTATTTATAAATTCAACGAAGAATTGATTTGCACCAAGTATTGTTCCATTTGGATTGCATCGTCATTGATTTGGTGCTAACACAAGCTGTATTCGTTACAAAGCACAGGTATAACAGTTGCAAAATCAAAAAAATTCAGAAAAAACCCACGATTAACATAATTGTTGTAATCGAAAAATGATTAAATAAATTCTTTGAAAACCCCTGGACGAGTTTTCTTGGTTTTGTAATTATATTACTTAAGAGCCCAGTCTTTCAGAGCAAAACAGAAAAATTGCGTTCTGGTGACACATCTACACCCTCCCTGCCCCGCCACTTCATGTACCGCCACCGCAGTTATCTTTCTGGCCGTAGCGTGGAAAGTTGCTCTACTAAGATTTTCCAGTATCAATTTATCTAATATACAGGATTATTGATAATTAGCTAACAAATTTTCACATACAGATTTTCTACCTCGTATCTATTTTTGTTCCATGCTTTTATTACAAAATTCGTTACACAAAAAAAAATATTTTAAGTTTGTATAATTTTTGTTGTTTTGTTGAAAAGGTTTCTAAAAGATAATCATCTAGAACCTGTATAACATGTACTCGTATTATTGATTATTCAAATGAATCTGGCAAGTGCTAGAATGAGTCGTGCACTGAGGGTTTCGTAATAAGTCGATGACACTATCGAAAATCCGTCAAGTACGTCAAGTAGTTCTAAATACTAAAATAGATTAAAAAAAACTCAAAATAATTTCTATATAAGTACAAACAGTCCACTATCACACATATTTATAGTTTCTCATTAAAGTATAATGTAACTTTGTATAGCATTTACCTATATGCATTACAAATATGCAACTCATTTATAAACTATTCTTAAAAGTACCTACCTAATTATATACCTAATATTTAACCAAGTGCTCACACATATGCACGTTGTTAACTATTTTACTATGAAACACAAAAAAACTTACCTTTGAATTCTATTTCTGTTCATTGCTTCAACGTTTGATTTCAATTTTCGTTTTCTGGTACAAGCATATTTTTTACGTTTATGGTCCATATCGAAATTAAAAGTTATAAAACAAATACAAAATGATTTATAAACCCTTAAAGAATTATATGCAAAAAATAATAAAGTAGAGCAACTTTCAATTCGTAACAATGCGCAACCAAGATTAGGGAAAGAGAGAGAAAGAGGAATGTTAGAGCGAGAGGAAGTGCAAAAATTTGGCACAGACAAGACGTCTGAACGCTACAGCCGCTCAGCGGCTACTAAGGAATATTGCCCGCAATTATTGTTTATAAAGTCAATATTTTATAGGTCGATCGAAATAATTATTAATTTTGAAATAAAGTGGTTTAAATTATTATTTTTTAATATTTGTCTAATTAAACACCTGCCCTTGAGAAAAAAATAATTACAGCATAAATATTTTCAGCTATTGCTATGAAACAAATAGTTTTTTATGAGGCGAAAACAGCGAAATTTAACGAAATTGAGACCTCTTATTTAAGACAATGAAAGATATTTAGAAAAAAAGAAACAGCGCATTTTGGAGAGAAGATGTTTAGCTATTAACGCGCTGAATAGATTTCGCCTTTTTATTATCGATTGCCTTATAATGGTACACGAACAAAGCTCGAAATTGCGTTGGGTGCGAGAGAGCTCTATTTACCGTTTGATTTATCTAACATAGACCACATAGATGAACCAAAAAAAAAATTTAGCCATTACTTATAATCTGGGTATTTATGTGTTATCAAAATATTTTACTCTGAAACAATAATTTGCTGTAAAAAAAGAAATCAAAGTGGCGCTAATGATTCGATGTGAGTCAACTTTAAAAGACTGTAGCCTTAAAAGATAGGTGATTATGTGTAATACGTATATTTGATTATTTGTTGTGTTAACGCGATATACAAATAGGTACAGAAAGGTAGGAAGGACTAAGGAAAGTCATCATTTGTTGTTTATTATGACAGATCTCGTGATCGATCAACCCTTTTTAAAGCAAATTTTTATTTTTATCTTTCGTGAGTAACTTCCTTTTAGTCGCGGGTTTTTCAAAGATTTTATTTAATCCTTTTTCAATTTCAACCTTCATAAACATCGTGGGTTTTTACAAGTTTTAATTTTTCTATTTATTTTATAATTTTTAGATAATTTCTATGTTACCGTCTAAAAGCTACGAAACCAAGAGCTTCCGGATGATACAATAAAATTATTAATAACAGGAGGAGCAAATCTGGTAAAAAAGCAAATGTTTTAAAAATTAAAAGATGTTAAAGCCAACGGTATCTGCTTTACTTCAGCCATATTTTGTTGAAGACACTGCCCTTACTGGGAAACCGACAATTAACTGATCAGCGCTCAGAAGATATAAGACACAATTGTGACAAATCGTTGGATAATCATCCATGAGATATCCATGGTTTCATATGGAATGTTTCACTGCATTCATCTTAGGTTTCAGAAGTTAAAAAATAATGACTCTCATTTTATCGGTTGCCCTCGTTTTTATTCATTTGAATCAGTTACCCCTGTGAAAGGGAGTTATTGTTTCAAGGTACTTGAATATTTTCAAGGGGTGCCTCATCATTAAGATACTTCGAATTTTGCGAACGTAAACGCAACATATATCAGCAAAATGATGCAGACTTTGTTGAATTACTCAACTATTTACAAGTGGGAGAATAGAGTATGGATAGTATCAGCTACTTCTTTATTTTATTAAAAAAAAAACATTATTTTTTCTTAGAATTACCAAAATGTCAATATCAAGTCACAAATTAACATAGTCAGTTAAGGAT